AAACCAAATTGTAGTGCACATATAACTCATATACTACAATTTTGATGTATATCTATCAAATTTAACACCGGTTTTTTGTATGCACCTTGTCATTATATAAGAATAATCCTTGCCTAGTTGTTATATTAACTTTGGTCATTATAATCTGAAAGCTAATCAATATATCTAGTTCATGCCTTTGTGTTCTTAAATTTGATTAAATGAGACAGATTTTGTTGCATTTTAAGAGGTTGTTTAGTAGTTGTATAGCATGATTTCGCCTGAAAATTAGATTGTGTTTATCTGAAAATGCTTCTTTAGTAAAAACCTTTTACTGCGTGTATTATTTACATTAAAACTATATCACTATTTAGTTTAGGATATTATTAGTTTACTTACGATTACCAAAAAGAAAGACAAAAATAATATCAGATTATTAAATTTTAGCGACTAAATTGCACTTAAAAGTTTACAAAAAAAACATTTTATCTAGTATTTTTCTTAAAGATGTTGAAGATAAATAGAGACATCAAACACAAATAAAATACTGGGAGTTTTACTAGAATGAAACATTTTGTCTTTTGTTGTTTACTTTTTATGTAATAGCATACATTGCAATTACGAATAAGGGAACCAACTGAATTCTTAAGACTGGAATGCGTTATCTAGCATTGCTTAAGACATTTGTTATATTAAGTTTGTTTTAGACTATAAAATTCTAATTGTTCAATATTTTACTAAAACGTTTGTTGGTTGTTTCATCAAACACAGATGAAACGTCTCCAGACTTAGAACAATACTTTTAGGAGGAATATTAAATATGTTGGTTTATTATAATTTAAAGATTTAGTCTATTGCTAAATATCTTATTGTATTTATTATAAAAGTTCATTTACAACGGGTTTACCTATTGCCTAGGTACCTAAATTTACCTAATGTTTGACCTATTACAGGTACGAGATATATTTGACATGGTAAGTTTATTTATGCTTAAAAGGAAAAACCTGTCTGTAAAAAAGTATACATTTAAATCAACATTTGAGATATTGGTAAAGTGTAACTAAAAACTGTAAGCAAAAGGATGACCAAGAAACTATATGGAATAACTACCGATACCAGGTATCTTAAAATATACCTTATATGAAGATTGTTTTAAGGTTTTATGAAATAAATGTATATCTCTATGAACAAGAACTGTATCTACATTTTCAGAATCTAATGTACCGGTAATGGTAACAGCATCCAAGCATTCATTTTATATTTATTCAACTTTAAGGATGATAAATACAGAGAAATCAATGTGACAAGGGTGTAATTAGAACAAGTGTCTTAATTTATTAACAAACGATTTTCTTAAAACTGTCAATGTATTCACTTGCAAAACAATTACATAGCGTTACAAAATTTTTACGTTTTATAATGATAACTAAGCATTGTTTAATCTCGCCACTAAATAAAAGATCTATAAATTAATTACATTGGCTTACTACATTGACTTGAAGCTATTAATTATAATTATAGTGGGTTTGCACAATTTTTCTACCCTAAAGTTATTTCTACAATATAAATATTGCTATTGAGACCGTATTGAAACAATATAAAAGAGAAGTGTTTTGCTGGAGGATCCAAAGACTCTAAATTATTGATTATAAAGAAGCCAAAATGGTGGATTCGCATCACAATAACACATATTCTATTGGCACCCTTCTACGTGTAGACTACAACTACAAACACCTATTTACATTAAGACAATACGGAAGAAACTTTACCTGGGGATGAGCTAATTGCCGATTTAATATTGAAGTTTGGACTAAATGGTGTCGTTTCAAGATGGCGGCGATGCGTTGGTTCGGCAGGATGCCGCTAGAGCGCATGCGCGCGCCTATAGATTGTTGCCAGACGTCCTGCGTGACAGGATCAAATCCTTCCATCCTTTTCCATCTCTTTCTCTCCTTCCCCTCCCACTCAAAACCTCATCTCCCTACCTGTAGAATAACTTCACCTTCCAAGTTCTGAAATTTAAAATGTTCCAACTTTAATAAATCAGAAGAACCCTTTTATTCCCAAACTTCTCGGGGTTTATTAATTTTGCTCAGATATTAAATGGAATTAAGTGAGTGAATATTTTCACAGTTATCCGATTAATATGCATTCATTCTGTTGTTTAATTAAACGAAACAGTTGAATAGGTTCATAACGAAGGTTTCAAATGAAAGGGTGTTGCCTGGATTTTGTTATTTAATGAATTTTGAGGATTCGTTTTAATAGCTCCAGTTAAACCTTGAATGCTCAATTATTGTCTATGTTTGTGGTATTTTGATGTTTAATGACAATATTAATATATAACAGTCTGAAACAACTCAAAATTATACTAAATTATATTCTTTGAAAAATAGGTTATGGGTCTTTGAAAAACAAATATAAATATAATCTCGAACTTTGGTGTCAGAGGGTCGGGTTCGATTACCATTACATCCACAACAACGAGCAAATATCGTAGCAAGCTATATATCACCAGCGTATACTTTGCCATAACATATTTACCTAACATTTACCTTTAAGTATATTGTATTGCTGAATTAAAACTGGCACGGCGGGTAATAGTTATGCACGATTAATCAATGCATCAAACGTACAATCGTTGGTAACACAGCAATATTCGATTGAATTATGTAGGGTATTAAAAGGGTTCTGCTACAGCAACTAAAGTAAATATCACTAAAGTAAATAGCAACGTACAAATAAAATAAACCCAAAATATTACTTATAATATAATAGATCCAAACTAATATACAGTAAAATAAAATGTTTGTTACGCGTGAACTACAAAATATTTCACTTGATTTGGGTTTTAAATTGAATAGATTCCCTGCTGAAACTTGCAGCAGTGAACTAGCTCTGATTTGCATGTTGTATAAGTGAGGAGCGTGGTATGTGGTTTCATGCGGTGGTATTTCAATATTGTTTCAAATCTCTTCTCGGTTGTTTACTCTTATTGTGTCTGTCTCCCATCCAATTGTGGATTTAGATCTTGCTTACTCTGCATACATGAGACATTGCCATTAAAATTTTTCTATTTGTAAATATATTAGCAGTATTCTTTATTATAATGTTTCAATCCCCTGAAAATAATTTTTTAAATTGTGAAACGGTCTAAAAAGGTCCATGTCGTATTCAGCCTAGTTTTTTAATATGGTAAGTATTTTAGATTTGTTATGAATTATTTTTAAGGGTTTGGCATATTCTTTTACCTTGCATTTGCCTGTCCACATGGCCACAGAGGCCTATGCGTGGAACGTACAGAAAAGCAAGGAGCAGGTACAATACAAGGGCGAACTGTACTTATAAAAATTGGGGCAGGTACCAGAATCAGAACCCACGACATCACTGTCCTGAGCTTGAAATCCGACGATAAACTTTAAAATACTGCATACATTCAAAACCTGATGAAACTCTGCCTATCGTGGTGTGTTCAGATTGTAAACCTTTTTTAATAGTAAATAAAAAACTATATGTATTACTGTAAACTAAACAAATAGTTTTTGCTATGTTTATTAAATATTAAAAAACATTTAAATATTTCCACTCAATATTTTTAAGGTAATTTGTCAAAGAAGCTACCGATTCATCATTTTAACCGTCTACCGAACTAAAATAAATGTTTTAAAGGATTGCATCGAAGTATACACGAAATTTTAAATCCTTTGCTTTGACAACTTTACTAAATATTTAACTCGATGATATTTTGACTTTGTTATTTAATTTATAGTTTAATCGAATTCCCAACAGTCACTCTACTAGTTTACACTCCCTAACAGTAAATCCAGAAACAATCTCGACAGGCGTACCTGGATCCATCTCACGATATGCCATATAAAGGAGGGCTTACCCATACGTCATATCAGGTCCGATCAAGGTTTAGGGCTGCACAAACTCAATCTGTTGTTTTTTATGGAAACTGCTCGCGGATTACTTGGGTAACAAGATGGCTTCTGTTGAATACAAATACACCGATTGAAGGATCTTATTAAAGTGTATCCGCGTCCCGCAACTTTTCATGACTCTTTGAACAATAGCCGTCGGGCCGGGCGTAAAACTCGAACGGTTTTCAATTTTTATAAACGACCTTTATAAACCGAATATTTTGATACACTGAGAGTAAGATTATGGAGTTTTCTTTTTACGCTAATAAATGCATATTGTTAACAATACTAAAATTCAATGTGGAATCATTCGATCTGTTTTAAAACTAACATAATACAACAAGAATACGAAATTTTGCACTATTTGATTACTTAAAAACGCTTTTTAAAATCATATCGGAAACATGTAAACAGATTGCATGTGTATATGATGGTAAGTATTTTATTTTTATTTTTTCAATAACGTAATGTTGATAGAAGTCTTCAACGGTTTTAAATATACATTGTGTAAAAATGTCAATGTGCCTTAAAAAAAACTCATATCAATGGAATTCTAAGTGATATTACTTATTCTTTTTTACTATTCCAATTATATAGTATTAAATATTTAAAAAAATTTCAATTTATTAATTTTAATTTTTTGTTCAAAATGTTTTAGGTATGTAAATATTTATTAAGTTTTTCGAGTATGTGTTATCAATTGCAACTATTTATCAAGTACATACTTAAATTCAATGATTATGTAATTTCATGTTCGCCCGCAGTAGTCAGTTTAAATTTATAATTTACCGACTAGGGCTAATACTATTCAAATTTACTGTCGGAATGTGTCAATTTATACGTCGTGTGTTGAATTTGTCGGTATGAATGTGTGAAAATTTTAAATTCATGTAATGGTGATTATTGTACAACTATGCAATAGACTTCTTAGCTATGTATCCAGAACTATATCTAATACGTATGCAGGTTTCCATTACACGGAGGGGAGTGAGTTGAAGACACCCTGGAGTTTATCGGCTGTTTTAAAAGTCTAACTCCTTTGTCACCTTGACCATTGTTGTCCTTATCAATCACTGACGTGTCTTATCTCTGTTACAGTGGTGTGAGCTCGTGCGTGTGTGTCAGGTGAGTTATTTATCATCATTGTTACATAAGTAGGTATGTATACCCAGTTATTGTTATCTACCGAACAATTTACAAAAAGGAGCTCGAAGGACCAAAAAAATTGTTCAAAGGTAAGAAGGGCAAACTAAACCACATTTTTATGAGAGCCAAAACCAATATTTTTTTTCGTATTTGATAAATATTAAAAAATTATCAGCTGTGAGAATATTTTATATTTTGTCAAAGAAGTGAGCAGGAAAGGTTTGAAATATCAGTAGCCCTACTGTAAATAGTCACGGAGCAAGTTAGAAATGAGATTTAGCTCAACAACCTACATTAGGATCATTAACGTAACTTTTGTTCAAGAATAACAAAAATAGAGTATTACTTATATTTCATCTCATCAATGGGTAAATTTATCTTTGTATAGTTGGTTTTACGTTTACTGCAATTAATTGTGCAAATCAAATAGAATTAATGTTACGAAAAACTACAAAGAAATTTCAACTGGCTAGCGTTAATTCCAAAGAAAATCTCAAAACTCTCAAGCTTTAAAATGTGATTATTTTGACATATTTGAATCGTAACTACATAAAGAGTCCTTAAAGCTAAGACCCTTTTGAGAAAAAAACTAATAGATCTCTCTAACGGTTCTGTTTCACCCCTTTTCGATTACTTTAAACTTTCGCTATAAGTACATTACTGCTAATCAACCCTAAAGGGTATACTTGTGCATCTTTTGAAACTATTTTAATTTAATTAAAGCCTTGTTGACCATTAAAGCTATATTATATTTCCTTTATACTTCCTATCACTCCCCATAAAACCATACATCTTGGCTAATGTATTACGCAGGTGTATTATTCAAAAGTTTAAATTCTGTAAAAACAGTATAATTTTACCTATACCTATATATATTTTCAAACATTTACCAGGGGCTTTAGAATCGGGCAAAGTTACGTTACAAACCAGTAGGCCTATCCAACATTGAAAACCAGCCAAATAGCTAGAGCTATTTTCAAGCCCTATACTGGAGTTGTATTTCTCGGATGTTTGGTTTCTGAACCATGACCAAAGACCCAAAGTCGGTCATAGGAAGGAGTTCAAGGTGAGCTAGTGGCGACCCTGTAAATCATAAAGTTTCTTGTGGCACGGAGTCGCCTCTGGCCTATCCTATACAGTCTTCTGGCTGTTGCACAGTCTTACTTAAACAAAAACATTCTTTAATTGTTACTTAGTACAATAGTAGTATATACTATTTTATAGATTTCTTTTACGAGCTATACAACACCATCCGGTAAAACACATTGACTGTTATTTGGCATTATTTTGAATCAAAATTACATAATCTCGGGTATGAGATATTGTATACTCTCAGACATGAGTTCATTTTGTATTTTACCAATGAAAACCTATTTTGGAAATATTATAAAATGTTAGTTTATCATCAAGACTTCTCAAAACATTAAAAATGTCACGTCCAAGATAACGACAGCGCGCTGAAGCTGTACTGTTGCTATAGAGTTAAAGTTGATTACTCTTGGTAATTATTCCCAAACTCGATTACAAACACGCTATTCACTCCGGGCAAAAACACATCTGAAATTTATAAAGTTCTCGGAGGGATAATAAGATTCCGTACTTAGGTTCATGAATAAAAACACGACGCGCAAGATGCGCGTATTAACCCAACTTCTGTGTACAAGGCTAAGTTTTTCTTTTATAGCCCCAGGTCCCCTGGTACTCTACATTTTGCATCCGTGTCGTGGAGTTCGCTGCTTTTTAGTCCCTAAAACTTTGCTTCTCTCGGAATATAAAAGGGTTTTATACTTTTTGCCCTGTCGTGCCCCAATGTTCTGTGGGCATGCAAACCCCTCCCCCCCTCCCCCTCGTAGCAATATTTATTAATACTAACCTCGTGAGCTTGTAGCTGAATCATGTAAGAACATTAATTCAATGAAAGACCTTGTCCCTCCCACGTAAGTGTTTTCTTTCTGTTATATTTCACCTGATTATTCTATATTAAAACAAATATTGTGCATTTATTGTACATTGTGAAAACATTCACCCATCAGTTTGCTGTACTGTTGTACTTTGTAGTTTAATAATGTTATTCCATACGTATATAGAATTTTAGCATTGCTAGAATACAATTTATATCATTACATCGACGAGTCTTGGAGGGATTTATTTACTCCTGCTAGTGGCTACTAAAAATAAGTCTGATTTGGCTTTACATGTACAATATCACTTAAACAATGAATATCAGCGAGAGGCATACAAATTTCTTTAAATACAGGAAGATAATTCAAAAATCTCTTGGCACTATGCTATAAACTGATTATTAGCATATTTTGATGTAACATACACTTAACTACTATATTAAACACAAGTGTTTATAATACTGTTTAATCGTTAGTAAAATTTTTAACCTGTTTTGCAATCCTTCAGCTCTCCCGTTCGTGTGTAGAAAAATAATCTTTTTATTGAAAGTGAAACAATTTAAAACATTTTATAGAAAAACGTTATTTGCAAATTTGACCTGTTTTATTTTTATTTTACCAATTTAAATCAACCATTTTAGTCCAAATACACAGTTTTTTTTACCGATTCACGTATTCCTTACAATTTGGGTTGAGGGTGGTTTTACAATACTGTTTAACAGCTGCATGTTAGTGGGTTGTAGGCTGTGGTAAGTAGGGGGGGAGGTTATTTATTTGTCCAACTAAACATTGTCCATAATGGGTTCCACCATGTAACAAGACTGTGTTTCAAACAAGTAAAGCTATTGATAAAACAAACATAAGATGGTTGTGCGAGGGTACTGCCCTGAGGAACACCATACTGACATGCGTAGTCCCGGCTACGCTGGTTACTGTTCCCGGTTACGCTGAACCCGGCTGAACCACGCTACGCGACATTACGAGATTAGCGGCAAGCTTGGAGTTAATTATAAACCTAAACCCACCCGACCAACCCAGCCGCACCAAGCCTTTCATTCCCTGTCTCGGGCAGATAAATTAAAGTCCCTCGTTGAATTTGTAAGGGAAAATTAAATTTTTATCTCGATCTTTCTACGTCTTATCACATGATTTTCAGACGTAATGTGGTTTTACTAATTTGATTATTTTTTTAGTAGTTGGAAAGGTTAACGCAAAAGGAAGAAGTGCGTGGTAACAAAATATTACATATGTTTGGGTTATTATGGTTCACATTACTATTGACACGGTGTGCTTTTAATGAACCTGATATGTAAAAAATGATTAACTGACGTAAAAATAACTATAACACAATTATATTTGTTTATATATTCTGTAATGTTTCATGAATTATGTTTTGATACGTAGGCAGTTCCAAAAGTGTAAAAATATTGATACTTATTAACGAAAAGTATGTTCTATAATCAACATAAATACAGAATAAATAACTTTTAATATTTACCCATTAAGAGTTTTTGTCTGACTCACAACCAAACTCCTTAACTGTTTTATTTTTACATTTATCAAAATCCAGGAAGTTCTAAATGAAACGATTACAATTATTATATCTATGGACGTAACTAATATACAAACACATTTTTGGTCATTTAATAGTAGGTGGTATATTTAATATAATTGCCTCATCTTTATGGACATCTAATTAGGATCAAGCCTCGTTTTGACATAACTTTAGGTTTGTGTTGGTTTGAACAGAAAACCAAGGCTTAGGCTGGTATAAGTAGTACAGAAATTATAAACTTTTAGTGACAAAATCATATCTCGGACCACAGAATAAAGGATGTGTCTGTCTACTCACCAAATAAATGCTGAAGGGGTCCATAATGAAAAAACCCCATCAAAGCTATTTGCCAAGGTTTCATGAATACGCATTTACTCTACTTTGTACATTTTACATAATTACGGTTCACATTCTGATTATTCCATGTATGGGCAAAAGTTTATGGATTTATCAGAATTTTTATCTTCATTTTAACGACATAATATGATTTCTTCACTTTAAAAAAAACAGCTTAATGGCCATTGAACGTTTTGCAAAACTTGTCGGTGACGTTCGATTGATATAATAAAGAACTTCAATTTATAAAGGTCTTAATTTGAATACGAATTCTATATTTTGGTATATTGGGTATTTATGTGGTTTTTGGAGCACTTATGTAAATAGATTGTTACAAATGTATAATCGATGCACATAAATATTAATTTTTACTAACTACACCAGTCCAATATGTTCAATTCTAACACAATTGGGTTTTAATCAGGCAGAGCTTTTCATTAGAGACAGAACCATTTCACGTCTGCAGATCCGCAACGAAACCAACATATGTTGATCAATTTGTTCAGGATGAAATAAATTCAAGGAAGGATAATCCAGTTGATCCCGGTGGCTGATTGGCTAAGAAAAGTGACGTCACTACCCCTCCCTCCGCTAGTTCGATACCTGGGTGAGTAAACCAAACGATGTTTCCTGCCTAAGACTTTTATTTCTGAGGATATTGAAGAGTTTAGAAGACTTTGTGTTTTACCCACTCCCCCGTGTTTGTGTCTTTTTTACGTTTCTTTGCAAATTACTATCTCCCGAACAAACAGAATTTCCCAGGGTAATTTTTTATACGACGCTGCCAACAGCTTTTCCCCAACACAACCCTTCTTGTTACCTGAGGTTCTATAATCCAAACATCTTCCCTCCGGTTCGCTGTAAAATGAACTTCCATTTTCTGAACACGTGTTACCCTATTGTTAATCCTTACCGGCACTTTGCACCTGCAGGAAATTAAAATATTTCACCAAAGCTTATTGTAAAACTATAATTCAAATTGTCTACAACAATATAAATCAATAAGAGATCAAAAGCAAAATCCTATCTTAAAAATCCCCTTTACCATAATTCTAAAAGTAAAAAGTAAAACCATTCACGTAATATTAAACTTCTGCCCGCAGTCGGTTTTATGCCAATGATAAATAAAACAATTGTAAAATTTAATCAAGTTTATTAATAATTAAAAATGTAGTGGTGAACACTAAC